GAAATTTCGAATTTTGCAAATATTTATCTCATTTCTAAAATAAATAAAATCTGTACGTGCAAAATTATATACAATACTTTATCGTAAATTATTAATATATTATTATAAAATTTTATTTTTTATTAGTTGTACAGATTCTACACTTATTGTTTTAAATTGTACTAGTCAAAAATATTTGACACGTCATGATAATATTAAACTGTTACTCAATATTATGAATAATATACCAATGGAAGGAATTATCTGGACTCCTAATGCAGTGATAACCGACAACACCGTTCTGTTTTATATACTAACATTATTGCGTATTCTGCCAGCTATATTAATAGAATTAATTTTTAAATTTTCTGGCCGCCCATCTGCGTAAGTTTTAAATGAAGTATTTAATTAATTCAAAAAAATGTGAAAATTATTCATGGATATATTTAATTCAATTGATAAATTGAAAAAAAAACTCCCCAAAAACTGAAATTGTATATTTTTCTTGAAGGGGTATACTTCTTTTTTCAGAGTAAAAACATTTTTTTTTCATAAATTAATCTAAAAAACTACTTTGTGAGTTTATATTATCTCTTTGTCTATCTTTAATCTTCATAACATGTCTGGAAATAATTTTCATACATTATATCTCGAATGGCTAAACTTTGGTAGAGTGTAGAGAATAAACAAGAGAAACAGTCCCTTACATATATGTTCGTTTTTTGCATTTGTTTCGGAGAACGTAGTAGAAATAGACAAAACGATAGTTTTCATTTTTATACATATTACATATAACAATATACAGAGTCAGCGAAAAGTGTCGGACCCTCCTAATATCTTCAGTTAGACATCCGACACTTTTTGATTAATGTATTTTCTTTAAACCAATTAATTGGTCTCATTATTCCGCGCACAAAAGTATTAAGGTTATGATTACTGAAAACTAAATAATATTTTACAAGATTTTTACATTTTGTGTCAAAGAATTGTTAACTTCAACCTTTATAACTCAAAAAGTACTTAATGAAAAAATGTTTTATTATAGTGTTTTGGAAAGCTCTCGAGATAAGCTATAAAAATATGCAATAAAAAGTAGGGGGTTTCATTTAAAAAAATAAGGTTGACCTTGAAATGACCTTAGAGGACATGGTCAAGATCAAAGTCAAGGTCATCATCTTACTCATCGCTTGAAACCATACAACTTTTTTATTGGACATTTTCTCCAAAATGCATTCTAACTGAAGATATTAGGGGGGTCCGATACTTTTCGCTGACCCTGTATGACAAATAACAATAAATATAATCTGATGTAGTGAAATTGCCTTGTCAAGTCATGTACACAGGATGTTGATGTGTGGTGATACGATATATTTATTATAAAATGTAGAATTTTTCTAACGTTTCGATCCTCGGTTTGGATCCTTATCAAAGAAATCTAATATAACATAGTTATTGTGCTACCTGGAACACTTTATAATCAAGTCATGATAATGAGAGATTGTATAAAATAAATTAACGTTGATAATAAAAAGTCAGATTACATTTATGTGTAAAAGAACAATTGTCATTAAAATTGTACATTTTATAATAAATATATCGTATCATCACACATCAACATCCTGTATACATGACTTGACAAGGCAATTTCACTACCTCAGATTTTTATCGCACGAGTCAACTGGTATTTCTTGCATTATATAAATAAATATAATATATATAATAGATAACATTATATCTGTATAAAGATTTATGCGTTGTTTGCAAATCCATTTTTTGTATTCGTAAATTTTAAATCTACGAATTCAGCCATATAGTTGAAACTATGTTGTAAGTTTATTATAAGTGTTAAATAAATAATTTAATGTTAATGAATAATATGCAAATTAGGATAGTACAAATGCAAAGAAGATTATATATGGTAAATTGGACTTTGAGTCATTTTATGCTTCGTGACTGGAAATTCAGCAATACAAATTCGTTGATACTATTATCGTCAATACCACCTGACGATAGAGATGTGTTTTCTTTTGAGCATACTGATTTTGATATTAAAAGACATATCAAGTAAATATATTATATTTGTATTCTAAATAATGAAATAGAAATAATTTTTCGACGATGATAATTAAAATCTAATAAATGTTTTGATACAAAGGAGTACCGTAACTGGTATCAAAAAATTTCTTCTTTATGAAGATATGAATAGATTGGATGCAGCCAGAACACACGATAAAAGGTACAAATATATATAATATATATATATATATCCATATAAATTATTTGTTACATATTATTTACGACTTGAAAAGAATTGTTGTATTAATCTAAAATATATATACATAATAAGTTATTATTAAGAACCAAACACTATGTGGTGCAGGGGCGTCGACTTGAGATTTGACCATGTGTGGAAGTAGGAGTTGGGGTGGGCGAAGTGACAACCAAAAAAAAAAA